CATCTCGGGGAACCCAGCAGAGTCACTGAGGCTGCAGTGAGGTGATGGGGGCCTGGCACACACAAGGGCACCATCGCTCCACCTGTGGAGGCAAAACTACAGATGCGTTCCCTCCGTGGCTGCTGTCACATCCGTGCCACTATTGGCCCCTCATTTCAAGGTTGTCCTTGATATCCTTATTTCACAGATAAAGAGACTGAGGTGCAAACTAAATTTTTTGTCCAAGCTCCATAAGCCAAAGTGGCAAAGTCTTCACCTCAAAGCCTCCGACCCTGCCCTTCTTGCGCTCATTCAAGTCTTCTTTCCAGCAGACCCTGGACAACGGGGAAGGGATGTGATCTGAAGTACAGAAAAGGATCCCTCAGGAAGAGGGAGGGAGAGACAGGAGGGGCAGGTGGAAATATGGCACCCAGGTGAGAGACGGGAGTGGAGCTCAGAGCAGGGCTGCAGCCACAGAGGTGCTGAGAAGCGGCTTGGTTGTGAACACGATGGAAAGGCCCCCCAGCAGGATTGCTGACAGACTACCCTCCAGGAGTAACAGAAGAGTCAAGGAGCAAAGGCAGGCATGGGCCGGCCGCCACCAGCTTCCCATCGCACCTGCTCAGTGAGACCTTCCCTGACCTGTTTTCAGAATTGACCCCACCCCACCCATCCGCTCTTCTAGGTACCTCTATTTCTTTTTCACCCCTGTAGCATTTATCTCCATCTGACAAACTAAATATTTCACTTACTGATTTGCTTGCTTTCCCCACTAGAATGTCAGCTCCTTGAGGGCAGAGATTTTTTTGTTTTTTCCAACTGCTGCATCCCCAGTATCTAGCCCAGCACCTGGAACATAGTAGATGCTTAATAAATACTGTCATGTGCGTGAATGAACGGCGTGTGAATGAGGGCAGTCCAGTTTTAACCCAGAGCAGCCCAGGCTGCCTGCTATGAGGGAGCTGATTCACATGAGTTATCTGCCATAATCTCTTTGTGACCTCAGGAAAGTTGCACACCCCACCTCAGCTTACTCATCTGCCATTGGTCTCAGTGACTTCTCAGCCTTGGTGGTTGGCCAAGAGTGATTTTTATGTGGACTTAGAAAAAGGCCCAGGACCTGCTCCTAGGGCAGAAGTGAGGATGAAAACCCCTGTATTGAGAAGCCCCACTGAGCGCCTTTGACAAAGGTGCTATATATAAATAGCAGGTGGTTCAATTATTATCCTTCCCTAATCCCCAGTTTCCTAATCCTGGGCAGGTTTGTGTGTGTGTGTGTCCTAGGGAACAGTTAAGGGCAGAGCCTTCTGGAAGCCCAGGGCAGAGGGTTGCCTCATCTCTGACTTCATCAGCAGCCCCCCCCCACCCCCACCCCCCGCCACGGAGTCTGGTAATGGATTTTCCCAGGAGACTCACTGGTCACCTTCATGGTCCCAGCCATATGTGGCCTGAAGAGTTAAAGACTTTCCCTGCCCCCCACCTCAGATAGTAGGACGACCCAGAACAATCTCTTTCCTCACTGGTGCCCCAATTCCACACTCCCCTCCCTTCAGCCCATTGCAGAGTACTTGCTACTTGCAGAATAGCCCTTTAAACACGTAAATCAGACCATGGCACCCCCCTGCTTAAAACTCTCCAGTGGTTTTCCCAGCTTTACCTGAGTCTTCAAGGCCACCCAGCTGGACTGTCCTCCCCTATCCTGTGCTCTTTCCTCTCCAGCCAAGCTGGCCTCAAGGCCTTTATCTGTGCTGCTCCCACTTCTGGAATACCTTTCTCCCCAAATCTTCACCTTGCTGTCCCTTCTTGTGATTTAGCTCCCAGCTTCTCAGGGAGGCCACCCTTATCTAAGAGGCTCACCCCCTCTCACTATCTAAGCTCAATATTCTGTTGTTCATTAATTACTTCTACTTGCCTACTTATCTGTCTCCTCTACTAGAATGTAAATTCCTCATGGACAGGGGCCTTGTGTGGGTCGCTGTTGTAATCTCCCACACCCAAAGAAATGAAAATTCCCTTGCACTTCAAGTGCTGTCCAGAACCCTGTGGGTTCCCAAGGATTGTTTTCAAACACTTTACCTATTTATCAAATGCTTATATTGCACTTGGTATGTGCTAGGCCCTTCTTAAAGTGTTGTACAAGTATTAATTCATCCAATCCCCACAATAGCCTTTTTAGGTTAATACTCACGTTAGCCTTATTTCAGTTGAGGAAGCTGAGGCACAAAAACCATAGAGATACGGTATTTTCCCAAGTCTGCACAGCTCATAAGAGGTGGCCAAATGATCTGAACCCAGGAAGTCTGTTCTGTGCTCTCAACAGCTGCACTCTGCCTGTCTCCCTGTCTTAGCACAACAGCAGGACTAGGCCTTTGACCAGGAGGCTAGGGTGAGGGTGGGTCTGCTTTGCAAAGCTCCTTAGCCTTGAAATCAGGAATTCAAATCTTGTTCCTACCCCAGGCCTTGCTGTGTGGCCTTATACTCCCTCTCTGAGCCTCAACTCCCTCTCCACTTACAGGGCTGGGCCTTCTCCCACTTTGCTTCATTCATATCCTCTTAACTGCCTCTTGTGAAGCAAAATTGGTTCCCTCTGAGCTCATTTCCAACTCAAAAATCCTTCATTTAGCAGAAGGTCTTAACTGCTTTAGGTCCCACAGTGCAGAGCCTTCTTTTGCCAGATTACCACAGATAGCTCCCCCACTCCCCTGACCTGGCTGCTGTTGGGATCCTAGCGTTCCCTCAAGGAAAAAGAGAGAGAACCTTTTCTTTTTCCACCGAGAGGCTCAGTCCTCTTGACTCCAGGCCTCTTAACCCCCTACCCCCATCTTCCTCGTTGCCTGTCATTTTTCCGGAACCACCCCTGCCTTCAAGTTCCCCCTCTCCCACACACACCCCTGCCTGGGCCTTCCCCACTCTGAGTCTGCCATCCAAGACTGGAAGGCACCTGGCCGCAGAGAACCCACCTCCCTGGGAAGACCCCGCCCCTCCCCTCTCCTTTCCCTGCCAGGCCCCCTTCTCCCTGCGCCTCTTTTCCAGGCGGTACTGAAGTCCTTCCTACACACACGCTATTTTTGTACCATCATTCTCTCCTTCCTCTCCCCCTTCCCCCCACTTTCACTTACTTCCTGCTTTTCCTTTACCTTGGCCCAGCTCTGAAAACATCGGGCCCCCCTGGCCCACACTCACCCCCAACTGAGGCCTTCAGCTTTGGGACACAGGGTCAGGGTCACTCGGGGAGGGGCAAAAGGCAGACACCCCTGCCCCCCTCCCTCTACTTCCCCACTCCTTCGCCGCCTCCAGCGTCTCACCAGCTGGAAGCGCGGACTAACCGCGGGCGGAATCGAAGGCGAGGGGAGGTCGGCCGCAACTTCCCCAGTCCACCTTAAGAGGACGATGCAGCCAGCTCGGGCGCTGACCTTAGGAAAACAAGTTTGCGCAAAGTAGAGCGGGGACCCGGGCCTCTGGGCAGCCCCCGGCCGCGCCTCCAGTGCCTTCCAGCCCCCGCGGGCGGCGCAGGTCCGAGGCTGGCAGGGAGTGGGAGGGGCAGAGGAGAGGGTGGCGGGCCGG